AGCAGCCAACTCCAGCTCCTGCCTGGTTATGTACACACCCTCCGATGTCATTCACGGTCACCAGAAGTGAAAGATTAATCAGAGGCCAGTGGACACAGCAAACACAATGCCATCTGAAACACACTGCTCAGCTGGAATCATTACCTGGACAGCAACAATGGGTGACAGCCAATGTCCTTGTATCACAGATGGGGGAAGCCCCCTTTCCTGCATCCCCAGGAGTCAGGGCAAAACAGACTGTGCCCCCTCTCATCCCAGTCCAAAAACTTGTCGGTAACTAAGGAAATATCTCTGCAGAAGGCATCATGAGTCTGGAAGCTCCTCGCTGCCAAAGAATGCTTTTTTGGGCAATCTTTCTGCCTCAATACAACCTCCATGGCAGTTTGCAGAGGACAAGTGCTAAGGATTTAAAGAGGAAGGAGGCAGACCTGCTTGCTCAGTTACATTTTGGAGCCAAGAGTATAAAATACGCTAAACCTGCCCATCTCCTCTGCCAAGCACTGCAGACCCAGAACAACTGAATGCATTATAAAACCTTCACCCAGCTTTAACGAGAAGTGAAATGAGTATCACTGCCTCAGCTGCTGAATTCATGCATGCTGGAAAAGCAGACCTGTTACTTAGAACAGCTGGATGTGAACCAGTGACCTGTGTCTGTCCCACCACTCTCCACCTCATTGTTGCCCTTGAGCCATCTAGCTTGCCTGAATTTTTCAGAGCCCTTCTCTGAGGAAGTAATAAAGCAGAAAACCATGATATGCAAAACATGCTGCAAGCAAAAACCTCAGCTGGAGCCAAAGGGCACAGGGCAAGTGACTTCACAATGACTGGGCTGACCCTCAGCTGCTTTCAAAATTGTTGCCATGATTATACTAATCCAGCTAAAGGCCAACCCTTCCTCCACAGGAGTACAGCTGACACCTCATCCCTCAACATCAGCCCCCGAGAAATCCCAAAGCAGAATCCCTCCTCATCAGACACCATGCCAGCCATCAACACTTTCTGAACCCACTTCCACTTCTGACAGCCATCAAGTTTCTCTTGTCCACTGTTGTGTCGCTGAGCATACACAGGCACCAAAAGTCTCAATATAAGCCAATAACGTCAGTCTGTTCCATGGGAGCCTGAGACACTGCACCTCAGAGCTGCCACTCCCCTTCCCAGCAGCTTGGAAAGTCAACAGCCAGGTTTCTATTGCAAGAGTCTCAGCAAAGATTATGTTAAGCTGCAGAGGTCAGAGGGAAAGTGCTGTTGTTGGGAGGAAAAGGAAGAGTGATGCTTACAGCAAACTTTTATTCATGTTAAGGCAAAAAAGAGCCAGCCAGGCTGCCTGCCTGCCCCAGAGAGCGCCCTGCCAAGCCAGAAAATAAAGATTCAAGCCCTTCCTGTTTCCCTAAGACTGCAGTCAGAGGTATACCTTTTACTACCACATTTGTGAAATTGGCCTTTCTGGCAGCAGACTACAACTAGCAGCATTAAACATACAGCTCAGGAGCTTCAGAAAGTCAAATCTGCTGTTTAATGAAAAGCTGAAACTGTAGTGCGAGCATTGCTGCGCTGTCTCTTCAAGCATGGGTGGCACAAGCAGCTTCTGTCAAGGTTGGAACTCAAGAGACAGCAGCACAGCATGGTTGGCACTAACGATTGGCACAGATGTAATGACTTTGTTGAACTATTAAAAATAGAACCAAATAAAATCACTTAAGCCACTCATTTTTCACAATTCAAAGAGCCATGTACTGCTGGGGTATCACTCAGGGTCCTTTCTCCTCACACTCCTCCCTTCTCTCTCCTCACAAAGGATTCAAACTAGCAGGAAAATTAGGAGCCCTGGCAAGGAGCCCCTTACCTGGGTTTTACCTGCCACTGCTAATAATGGATGGCTCTTAGGGACTGCATGGGATGAGGGACTAAGCATCAGTCTTAGTAGACAGGATCCCCTTCGCAAAGCCATTGCCACAGACCTCAGCCCTTTGGCAAAGGCAGGAACAACAGATGGGACCACAGGTACATCCAGCAGGCAGAGATGCCTCCCAGGTCCAAGACACAATACCCAGAACTGAGATGGGCAGCTGCACTGAAGAGTTCATTTAAAACAGGTAGCCAAGGAGGGGGTGTAGCTCTTTGCAGTTTTAGCTGCTCGTAATGCATCAAATCACAAGAGATGAGACACAGTTAAGAGGTTAAGCAGAATCCAAGCTAGTTTCTTTTATTTGCTTTATAAGTAACTAACTGAAATAATATTTCCAGGATGCTTTTGCCCACAAAAGGCTTATAAATGAGACCTCTAGTAAAAAATGATCTACACACACAGAGCCGAACAATCCCCTGGCGGGCGGGTCAAAAGAGCACAGAGTAAAATGATGCTTTGTGAAGAGAAAATGTCACAGACACTTGAGAGTCGCATAGAAATACAGGCAGAGAAACTCAGCCCACAGATTACAACTAACACCAAAACCTTCAGCAAATAACTTAAAAGAGCTTTACTGACCACAGTGGTCAGAACATCCACTTTACTGCTCATGGAAAAATGGCTCTGTAACACTAGGCTGCAGCCCCAAGGTCTAGTTTATACTAGAAAAAGTGTTTTGAGGGTGTATTTTACATTACTAAAACCCTGCCCACAAAATAAACTGGACCAGCTGAAGCAGTTTTCAAAGGCAAAATGCCATCTGTATCAGACCTTTGGCTAATATAAATGGTTTTAACGATAAAAAAAATAAAGTAAACAAAAGAAGCAAGGCTTCTTGCAACACCTAGCTACGGTTACCAGGTTTTCACTGCTATTATTGCACAGAAATGACTGCACTTTTAGAAGAGTTTTTGAGACCACACCAGAAGAGGAGGATGACCCTGTCTTACTACCTACAGCCACGGAGAAAGAACCTAGATACACCATCTTCCCATCCAAAGGAGGGCTGGTGAAGAACAAAGTACTCAAAACAAAACAAAGTTCTTCACTGTTAATGAATGACTAAGCTGACCTTTACTCGAAATGAATAAAGGGGATGTTTTTTTCCTAAGGAGCAACAGCGATTTCTCTAACAGGAACAGTAAATATTTCCCTAGGTATGTAAGGTGATGTATTTCTTTTCTTGGTTGGCATTAACACCTGGCATGGAAAGATCTAATCCAAAGCATACTTTGGTTTCAACACTTTCTACAATAAAAACAAATGATGTCACTAAAAGTGTGAAACATGCCTGAGGCTTTGCAGAACATGGCTCAGGCCTCATCAGCCTTGCATGCTGGAGCTGCTCTGGGATGTTACTTTCATTCTATTGCTATTGAGTAACAACAGATTGTCATACCAGGACATTCTTGAAACTTAATCCATGCTAACCATGGGTGCAAACTTAGCAAGGGCTGGTTGAGCTAGATTGCAACCCTGTAAACATACTTTCATTCAGAACATAAGTGACCCCTTAACTCTGTCCATGTCAAAAATGAATCAAGAGAAATCAAATCAAGGCTACTTAAATTCTGAATAAGAGCATCTACACAGGGATTTAATTCACTTAAATCAACCCACTGGAAATGTTAATTGCATTAATTTTCTCAAATAACCATGTGTGGACAGACTCTAAGAATGAGACCTTGGCCATGTTAAAACGACTAGTGACAATTTTGCTAATGACTTAATAGGACCAACATTAACCTCTAAAACTTCAGAATACCAATATTGCTTTTCTTTCAGTAGCAATAAGAAATGAAGCATTAAAGGATGACAAGAGGTCAAAAGGGACTTCCAGCTTCCTGTACATATGCCTTTTAACTAGCTGAATCACGAAATTCACATTTGTTATTGTCTACAAACCGAAATTTGCAAAGAGGAAAACAAATGGCCAGTGGCAAGGAAAAGGAATTAAGGTATTTTAGTTGTATTTCGACAGGCACACAATGTTTTCCACTACCGCTACAGAGTAAATCTAAAGTAACTTGATTTTGACAGAGCTTCTGCAGATTTACACCACTGTCAGAAATAACAGATTCTCCCTCGTATAAAGTTTTCTAAATGTAAAGCAGCTCCAGGGCACCTTTAATTAATCTTAAAGGCACACGTGTGAAGCAGATTCTCTGCTAATAGCAAAGCTGAAGCCCACCCGGCCCGACTGAAGGTGGATCTTAGCCCAGGCTAAAAAAGTCAGCCACTGTGGCCAGAGACCAGGAAAGTAAGCAGGGCTCCTTGCAGCTCAACCTTCCCCTGCGCTCTTAGGGCGCACAGGGGCTCTTGCAGGGTGAAGGAGGCTGCTTGGTACTCCAAAGCTCAGTGCTTGGAGCATTGTCTTCACAAAAGCCCCGCAGGCCAAAGTATTTTTAACCGGGCCCTCGACAACCCCAGCCCTCCTCAAATCACCAAATTCGGGGATATTCGCAGTTCTGCTCGCAGTTTCAAAGCCCCAGGCGGAACCCCCACGCCCAGCCGAGCAGTAACTGTGAGTTACACGTCTGCATGTCAGTACCCGCGGGGTCTCCCGGCTATTTCACAGCACGGCTCATCTCCCGTGGGAGAGCAGCGGGCCACGCTCCTAGCCCGGCCCGACTCCCGCCCGCTGGCCGGGCGCAACGCGGGGAACGGAGGCGAAGCGCCGGCGGCAGCCTCGGCGCAGACAAAGGGCTGGCCCCCTCCCCCCGCCGCTCCTCGCCTTCTCCCGCGGAGAGGCGGCCCTTCCCCGCCCGAGGACGGGAGCCGGGCCCGCAGGACGGCAGCGGCTCTCCATTAAGCTACCGCTGCTCCTTCCCCGCCCGCTCTCCGACCCGCACAGCCGCTGAGGACAACTCACAGGAAAGCGGGACGGGTCCCGCAAATCCCGAAGGGCCCCCGCAACCGTGTCACCCCATTCCCGCCCCGCTGACCCGGCTCCACGGGGAGCAGGCGGAAAATGTAAAATAAGGTTTTGTTTCAAAATAGTTTATCCCTTTCTTCCCCCAAAACCGCCCCGTCCCGTCCCGCCTCCCGGGGCCAGGCTTTGCGCTCCCTCCCAGCGGGTCACCCCTACCTTCTTTGACTCCGGGCAGCTTGGAGTGGTCGATGCCGATCCCGGCCATTGTGGAGTGGTCCCTCGCCTCCCGGGTGAGGTGAGGGCAGAGCCGCGGCCGTGCCGCCCGCGCCCCGCGGTACAAAGTTGGCAGCGGATGAAGACGGAGCGCCCGGCCGTACGGCGCGGCGGAGGGGACAGAAAGCGCCGGGGTGGGGCGGGGCCACTACTCACCGCCCCTCGGCCCCCCTTCCCGGCAGCTGGACGGCTGCGTCCCGGCGTTCTCACCTTCCTTTCTCCAGCGGGACGGGCAGCCGCCGGGAGCGCTTAGTTTGCTTTATTTTCTTTAGACGGGGGGATCCCCGACTGCCGTCGGAGCTGCTCTTCAAACCGCTAGGACAGCTCGGGTCCCCGACGCTCTGCCGTGCCGGACGCGGGGTCTCTTCCCCTTCTTACACATCCCAAAGGCATCCGTCCCCAGTACCCGCATGTGTGCCGCCGGCCTGGGAACCGATAACGTGCCTTCAGCCGAGCCAACTGCCCAACGGCTAGCCCGACCCCTTCAGAGAGAGGAAGGAAGGGAGACAAGATGAGTTTGTCTGTCGGGATGGGCACATCTGGAGGAAAGCAATGCAGGCAAGAGATTTCTGGCCAAGGAGCACCTTGAGAGGCCTTTGGACCCTAATAGCACACTGCCATGTAAGGGTTAGAGCTAGCCTTCCGCAGAGATGGGAAGGACTCACACTTGCAGTCCACCTTTGTTTTCCAGCAGCAAAAAAAAACAGCATAAGATGATGTCTTCTGGACTAGCACGAGGAGATAAAAGGAAGAGGATTTGGGGTTTAGGGATGTCAGAATTTGTCCAGTACAACCAAACACTCATGTCAACTGTTTAATGTTTTGATCATAAATAAACGTATATCTCGAATATGCAAGCAGCAGACAAAGTCAGTATTGCCACATTTGAAATGAGTGCCTTCCAGCTTCTATTCTCATGTCCTGTGGCCCCTACGCCATGGTGAGCACAGGACATAGGGATGCAGGAGAGCCAGCCCTTCTGCTCCCTCTCTTCAACAGTCTCCAGGGAGCTCCTAGGCGACTAGGACAAGAGCTGAGAGGGAGACATAGTGGGACACCAGATCTCAGGAAAAAAATGGCAAATAAAATATCAATTTTACTAAAAAATAAAAACATGGAAGAAACTGACTGCAAAACCAGAATCAATCTCCAGAAGGTTAGCCTTGTGCTGTTCCAGAACTTTTTGGTCCTGTTTTCCAAAACTCAGGAACTGTTGGTCCTTAATTCTGCCCCTTTCAAAGAGTACTTCATCATCTTCAAAGCTCATATGCATAGACTATGCCTTTAACCTTACTGCCTTTACTGTTTCATCATCTACTCAGCCTTTTCCACAGAAAAAGTCACTGAATTGTCTGTATTTATAATGCCCTCTCACTTACACCTAGCACACTTCTCTGTGTGCTGACATACACTGAGAGCTGACAAGCCCTCTGCCTAGAAGGCCATTATACCCATTTCCTGAGAGGTGAGTAGTGCCCAGGATGACCCCGGCTACAAGGTACTCCCTGTAACCATACACATGGGAGCTAGCCATGGGGTTTTGTCCCTCCAAGGCTCAGCTCACACAGATAATCTCCTGTCACAGACTCAGCTCCTCCTTCTAAGTCCTCTGCTATTCACACAAGCAATACAATCAGATGGCTTGTAAATAATCCCCATGGTTGCAGCCAACTCCATAACAAGGAAGAGTCTAAAAGTCCATTTCTAGTTTCTCCTAAATTTGAACTTAGTATATTCCAAATTCAGTCTATTCCTCTGGCCACCCTTCACCTTTTATTAATCAAGCTTTTTGATACCTGAATAAGCATTGATTAGTGGACAAAAGTGAGGACAAAAAAAGAGGCCAAGCAACCAGGAATATGCAGGAGAAGTGGCACAGAATGTACTGATCTGACACAGGTCACAGCTTTCTAAAACTGGAATATGGTGTTCTCCTGCCCTTCTCTTAGTATAAGGTATTCAGTACAAAGCATTAGAAGCTGAAAGCATAAGGTGTTCACATTAACGTGGCAGCTTTAATGCAACAAAACCCACTTTGACTCTACATTTATGAACACAACTCTTAATCTGTGTATCTTGGTGATCATGTGTTTCACTCTATGCATACAACTATTTGCTCTAGTCTTCAGTAATGAATTTGTGTTTTATTAATTTGTCTGGCTAGGGCCAAATCTGGCAACATAAATTAGTCATAACCTGGACTGCATTCAAGAGATATTGTATTGGCCTGATGCAACTGGCTGTTAAGAGAGAGCTGTATTCCTCCTGGTTAGGTGCAGCTTCCCTAAAAAGAGATATGGTACCTCATGCTCAGGATCACAGCAGAGCAGTGTGTAAGGTTCCTGGGTTCAGGTTTCTACTACATAAATTATGTAGCACCTCATGCCTTCCTTTGGTTCCCTTAATCATGCAAGTTTGTTTGTTCTTGCGAGATCTGCTAAAGCTCAGTGATAGCAGCTGGACAGTGAGCTCTGCCACAACCCAAGGAAAATACAGGGCAACAGTGTAAATGACATTATTTTCTTGGTGCTGGAAGTGAGGGAAACATCTCTAGCTGTCATAGCACAGAAAGGTTGGAACAGTCTTCTGGGAGGGGTAGCACAACCAAAAACAGTGAACAGCATTTGTCAACACTGTTCCCTAAGACAGGGTCCTACACACCAAAATCTTTTATTTGCATTCTCAACACTGGATTTCCCTCTCATCTTAGTTTGATTTTTGAAATGTTTCTGAGATTGGAAGATGGCACAAATCACTTGAAGATTGCAGAAAGTTTCAAAGACAGCTACAAAACCCAAAACTGACCAGAGCAGGACTGAGGATGGGGGAATTAAACAGGCTCTAGGGAACGAGTTTCTGATGTAATGCTAACACTGCAGCATTATGACATCTTACGCTCCCAGAGGGCACCTTATTGTGGTGGATCTCAAATTGCCCTCCCAACTCCCACTTGTGTCTAAAAGCTGCTTCTAAGCAGCATTAGAGGTTTTTCTTCTGCTAGACTGACATCAGCTTTTTCTGCACAAATTGTACAGCGTCTAGCTTGACAAATGGTATATGTTACAATGGGCAGGTGAATTCAAATAAAGCTGGCACAACTGAGCACTTTAAGATAATAAGACAACACTTCAATATTTCATAAAAGCAGGTACTTAACTTCACAGGAGCTTCTGTTGGAAGGCAAGCCCATATAATTTCACAGGACCAAAGCAATTGGGAATTTGAAGTATATGGCACACACCTTTAACTCTTCTTTCACAGAGTAACTTCAATCAGGAGAGAATTTGCAGGGCTCTCTTCTCACTCCCTGCTCAAAGCAGGACAGGCTTCAAAATCTGATGAGTTTGCTCAGTGCTTTGCCCAGATGAGTTTTGAAAATCTCCAGGACTAGATATCATATCACCTCTCTGAGCTTCTGTTCCATTCTTTGCTTACTAGGGGGACTTCTCTGCTGCAGGCTGTGACTCCGGACCCTTGTCCTACCTTTGTGTGCCTTGTTTGTGCTTTCCAGGAGCTATTCTCCAGTGGCAATCTCCATGTACCGGGCACACCATGACCGGTGAGGAGTGTGCTTCAGCAGACAGCTGTGGGCAGGGGCTCAGAGGTGACGCTGCAGCTGGGACTGTGCCTCCACACAAGTCTTAAACCCCAGGGATCCCCAAGTCTAGGTACTTAACCCACCTGTCCCCACATATCTTATCCTGCCCCGAACACATCACTCCTGGAGAGTATGCAGATTGTCATGCTGGTGCACTACACAGCACTTCCCAGCTCTCACAGCATCGAAAACACTTGTGAGGAGATGTGCAAAGCAGGGGCTGGAGCTGTTAAAAATAGACAAAAGCCACATGGTCTCGAATGGCCTTCAGAAAAGCCATGGTGAGTTGTTAGGGGCAGGAGCTGCCAGGCAGAGCACTGGGACCAGGAGCAAGGAGTGCCTTATGCTGCTAAGCTCTTTCTATAGGCAGGGAGAGATAATTCTGTGCTTGCTTCTTAAATAAACTGGGCACCTTTCCAAGTCTCCTGCTGTCATTTTAGGTCAACAGGATAACAACAATTGTGAAATAAATTAGGCCTCATCAAGATGTTAACTTTCAACAAAACAGTCTTTGTTAGTTTCCTTAACAATGCCAAGGATAACTTCCAACTGATCAGGCTGCTGTAGAAATACACACAGAAGATCGTGATTCTACATTCTACAGATGTGTGCATCAATTAATGGTCAATGAAAAGGGATGGGGGGGAAAATGGGTTTGCGTCTCTCATCATATCAGGTGCTGCACAAACCCATGTCTGAAACCTGTAGGACAGTGGTGACTGATGCCAGAGGACTAACCTTACTTTGCAGCTGAGCTGGGGACACATGCTTTTGTTCTTTCTCCCCAAAGTCAAATTCTTGGTATAAAAACCAGCATAAGCTCCTTTCTATCTTCAGGAAGCCTAAAGGTTGCAAGAACCCCATTTCCTGCCTGTAATAAATAAAAATCAAGGTTTGGGGTCTCAAATAGAATTTGCTATCAACTCTGCAGGATGCTGCAGGGTCTTCTGGGGGACAGGTTATGTAGGGACACAGAAGGAAAACACACTGGGAAAAAAACCCCAAACACTTCAGTTCTTAACCTTCCCACATTTCTAAGCTAAGACACTTCAAGAGAGGTTTGAAATCCTGTGGCAGAAGGGACCGATGAGAGGAAGCAAACATTATAGCATTGGCAAGGAACAGTAAGAAGCAGGTGTGCAATTTCCGTAGGCAGCTGAACAGTGCCTGTGGGAACTCAGGCTCCCTGAAGAACAAGGAGAGTAGGAGCCTGCAAGGATTAAGGTATTATAGAACACACCAGGGGTAATGAATAGAACGATTACAAAGAACGAACAAAGAGGAAACTAAACTTGAGCTTACATGTAACGTAATGAGGGGTACTAGGAAAATCATGAGTAATGCATTTACAGAACAAAGGCTTTTATTGGCTTGCAAGTTGTAAAGACAGCTCATACAATCTGAAGTCAGGTATGAAGCTGCTCACAGCTTTGTTACATGCATGGATGTTTGTGTAAGCTACCCTGGAAAATGCAAGGTCCAAATTAGCTCTGCATCTCTGACCACAATTTTACTAATACATTTGGCAAAGGTTGTAGTTTTAGTGATATTTTTTTCCAAGTGAAAGTGTTAGTTTTACTTCAGCAAAAGACATCAAATGTCTTCCAAAAATTCTCTTTTACCAATGAAAGCAAGAAGTAATACCAAAAGTGGTACATTTGCTACTTCTTCCCTCATTCACCATGCATCTTTCCTTAATCATACGTGTCAGAAGAACAGAACCCACCAGAACAGTATATTATTCACCCAGTGCTCTAGTGGGAGCTGCTTGCAAATCCACACAATGGAGGTGTAAAAAACCTAACAAATGTGGCAGATAGTGATGAAGCACCTTGACCAATTCTCAGCTATTCAGTTACAACTACCTGGATGAAACTTCAACACACTAGCATTGCTAAAGGGAGTGTGATGGGGGTTGAAGTCAAAGCAGCTCCTGCTTAGCAGTGAGTTTGCTATATTCCACTCTGAAGAAAATTTCTAGAGCTACTTAAAAATCACCTACTTTGATTTCCACCTGCCCATCCTTTTCTGGATATATCTATCTATATCTGTATATCTAAACAAACAAAACAAAACCAAACCAAAACCCAAACACACAAAAACACAAACCAAAACCAACCAACCAGAATCCTGTCTTATCACTTCTGCTACCTGTTTCCCAAGCTGCAGAGTGGCAAGCAGGCCAGAAGGTGAGGAATGGATATGTCCTGAAGTCTCAGTTGGATCCCTCATTTCAAGTCATGATTTTGTACATGCAAGTTTACATCCACAAAGTACTGGTGCTCACTCAAAGCACTATTTTGCGCGTGCAGAAGTGTCACAGTGTCAGAAGCCCTAGGTGCAAATGAAAAGCTAGTTAAGAAGACAGACTTTCCGAAATACAAAGATTATGGTTGTCTATGCAAGTTTCCTCAAAACACCTCAGATTTTTGCACCCTCTAAGCCCTCTCTTGGGTGACCTGTCATGAGAGTTTAAAAAAAGAAAAGACAACATTTCTCAATAAACCAAAAGCCAGATGATGAGAACTGAGAGAAGGAAGAGCGAGAAAGAGGAACAACGGCATGAAAGTTGACAGATAGGGTAGACCTCCACAACCTTAAAAGTGCCCCAACAAGCACTTTCAGCAGGAAATCACCCAGCCTTATCTATGTGGCTCTGTTACCCAAAGTAGTATATGTGCAATCTGCACTCAATTTAGACTTACTGAGAGTGACCTATCAAACTAGAACACAGCGTGCAAAATTCACGGGAAAGTTCAGAGATGGATGCATACACTCATTCTCGTACAATGGCTGCTGACCATGCCAAAGGATCCTCACAGGGGTTCTTGATGCAGGTAGTATTGAGCATCATCAGCCTAACACCTGAAGCAACAACAAAATCAAGAGGCAGCTCGTTCCTCTGAGGTCACACTGGGAGCTGCCAAGTCCACAGCCTGTACAGCAGTCAACTAATTTTACCAGTTGTAGGACACAGCGCCTAACCTCAACAGCCTCGAGGCTTCTGAGAAAATAGGACTTTCTGAATACATAATCCCATGCAGGCAGGCAGTGCCCTGTGTGCTAGCTCAACAGAAGCTATCCCAGCACCAGCCCTGCTACCCTAGAAATTTTATCCAGAAGCCAGATTCATTAGTCCATCCCAACTGCCACACTGATATGCACATATGGGTTTCTGGTGGCCCATCTAGGGTATCCGCCTCACAGGGGAGATGCATCAGCTCCCTGGGGTCAGGCTTAGGTTGCCTGGCACAGCCTGCTGTTATTTAGTAGAGATAATGTATCTCATACTTGGTTGCCCTTACTTTCCCCCTCCATGAAGATAATGGCAAGCTCTACCAGAAGCCACATGCTAAGACCACTACCTTGGATCCTCCTGGCTTTGTGTGCCCACAGGAAAAGTGATAATGACCACTGATACCCATCTTCTAGAGAGAACAAATAAGGTGAAGTCTGACTCTACTGTCAAGGTGATGGGTTTGTAACCACACTTGTGGAGGGCAAGTCGCAGCTCTAGAAATTGCCTCTTGTTTGCCATGTGCTGCTTTCTTACCTCAGTTTCCATTTTCACAAGTGTCTGCTCTTTAATTTCCTATAAATGATGGAGAGGGAAGAGGTTCTCCAGAAAACCAGGCAGGCTTCTGCTCCACATCACTCTCATCTTTCCTACTTCCATTGCTTTACTGGAGTACTAGCTTGGGTAGGTGATACTACTCTTGCAAAGACACCTCACAGCATCACTAAACACTTGATGTCCCTGACAAGTCCAAGGACACTGCTCACACTCATTATCCAGGATGGACTCAGGGCTTGCAGAAGGTGAGTCAGAACAGAGAGGGATCAAGCTGAGGGTAAATCTGGTGGTATAAATAGGTCATTCCAGATAATGCCTCTTCAGGACACTCTCCTGGCACAGGGATCATGTTAATCCCTACCCAGCCACACCAGTATTTACCACTCAGGAACACTGCTGGAAATTACTTTGAGACCAGCAGGTCACAGCACATTTCAAAACAGAAAATGTTTCTGTATTGCTTTAATCTCCTCACCAGGAAGCTCAGCCAAGTAACCCCAGTCAGTAGGGGTCAGAGACTAAGTCTAGAGGAGGTGCTTCAGCCCCTCCAGGATTATGAGGCAGAGGTGAGAATGGCACCACAACTGACTGCTCACTGCTTTCTCTCCATGGGCTGCCTCCTTCCACATCCAATGCTTTCACATTCCTGCATTACTTTTTCAGTCCTTCACTCGAGGAGGATACTTTGGACCTGGCTTGTTGAGTGGCTTCCTGACAACCCCCACAGTGAATGTAAAAGCCAGGCCATTTGCACTTCTTACCCTCTGCTGCCTTAACTATGAGCTGTTTCTCTTCAGTACAGTGTTCATCTGACGGGAGCTGGTGATGCTTCCCTCTGTGTGCTCCCTTGGTTGCTTGCAGTAAGGTGGCGACTTGCTTTACAGTCTGCGTTGGACCTTCCACTTTTCTCTAAATAAGGATACAGTTAAACTACAGCATCTGATTTTATGGCAGTAACATGCCAAGCAACAGCTGAGTCCCAAAGACAAGCACGTAGAAGGGGGAGCAAATTGCATGAGTCAGACTAAAAGCTTCATAAATATTGACTGGTTTTAACAGTCCCCCAAGGAACAGAGAATCTCATTTTGTAACTACACCTCCCTTCCCATTATGTACTTCCTCCTCTCAGGGAGATGCAAGGAGGGACTGCTCTCCTGGCTCATGTGCACAATATTTTAATTCCTTTCTGCAGTCAAGCTGCTCTGTCAAGGACTTTGCAGCACACATCAGCAGAGTATTTGACCACCTCTGAGTGGCACTTTAAATAACAGGACTGAGTGTGCTTTGTTTTCTCAAGTTCACTCCAGGGTAGGAGTAAGAAGCAGAGGAGAAATAAAAAATGTGTAAGGGATGAAGGCTGAATAGAACAGGATGGTTTTCAGTACCTTCTACTCTGATTTCTACAAGGTGAAGCGCACTTGGAGACACAGAGGGTCAAACAGATGCAACAAGAAAATGGAAACAGTTTTTTTGGGCATGTAAACTGACAGAAGTGATAGAAGCACGTGGTTGACCATAAGTCACTAATGAGGAGGAGGAAGATCAAGATGACTTCTGCCTTTCTGACATTGTGTGTGAAGCTCTCTTCACCCCTGCTGTGAGGGCAGCTCCCTTTTGTTGCCTGCTAAAAGCTCACTAACCTTTCACTGCTGTGCTGGGGCTGCCATTCCCCACTGTCTTCTTATTCTTAGAAACACTCTAGGCAAGAAAACAATGACACAGGAGCCTCCCTATCTGCAGAACAGAGTATAACATCCTGTCTCTGACAGCTGAGACCAGCTGGTTGCAGCCAAGTTCCATGCCTGGTGCAGAGTTTGCAAGACAGTTCATATGCCTTTTCTCCCAACCTTAAGTAAAGGCTCTTCCCTGGCAGGTCCTCTCACAGCAGGCTGTTTGCTTTGAGACCAAGCAAACCATGGTTAAGTGGAGACCACAGCAAAGCCTGTTGATACTGTTGAGGTTCACCTGAAATACATGATGCATGTAATGTTTTCATGCATTTTCAGGAAGGTCTGGGAAAAAATGAGAATATTTTCTCTCTCTCCAGCCCCCAGATGTACAACATACAAAGTGGTCTGGAAAGCTGCCATTCCAAGCCGGCTCCAAAAAGTAGCCCCTTCATGTTCTGCTTTCAAGCAGCTCAGCACTGCCTCCTGCACTCCTCCTCCGCTCGAAATCCACACTGAATTCCCCTTGTCTAAGGCTTATTCTGAAACAGTAATGGTTACTAGTTTAGGGTTAAACTAAGGTTAGGTTATTTGGGGATTGCATCTTTTTGAAAGGCAGCCCTAGCTTTGTTACTGCTAACAGCAAAGCCCAAAGTGACTTCAGAGAAACTGGGGTTTTATACAACGTACCTGAAAGCCTTCACTGTTCCAGTGTCTACCTGAAGGAGGACTCTATGCACAGAAAGAAACTGAACATTTTGAGGAAGGTTATGTCCAAGAGCAGCAAGGGTCAGCTGCTCGCTAGGGAACAGGGAACCAAATGCAGTGATGCTGCCAGCAGAACAGGGACCCATCCCAAGGGATGCAAGCAGAGCAGGCCCAGAAACAGCAGCAGATTCAGCCAAGAGCTCCAACAATCAGGGAAGCCCAGGCAGATCCAGATTCAAGCTGGGAGTGAATCCACTTGTCAGAATCAGGCCAGATGGTAGCAACCAAGATCACAGTCCAGTGACCACCAAACAGGTCCACACTGATGGAACACGCCTGAGGTCAAACAGGGAAATTAACCTGCACATCTAGGTCCAGATTAGTAGGGATCATTGGCAGGCAAAGACATAGGTGAGCTGCAGACCAGCATTCATCCAGCATAGCCCAAACAGAAGCAAAAGCACTTCAGGGCTGAACTTAAATAGGGTTCCTCAGCCTATGGGCAGAGAGAGTGATAGAGGCCACAGATGAGGCTTCTTGGGATTGTTGACACCTTCAGGGTCTTAATACATGTACTCATCTCTAACACTCAGCTGATGCAGCTGAGTTTAGTGGCATCTGTTTGGGCTAAGCCTTCTTCAGTCTTGCCTTCTAGACTTACTGGGTTTGTCTAACCTTTTCAATTTTCCAGTTTGATTGTGCTTGATTACCTGAAGTCTGCATGGCTCTATGAAAAGAAAAACTTCACAAGAAGAGGCTTAGACAGACTGGTGCCATGAGGGGTAGAGATATACCCACTATCTTTGAGCTCTAGATGAAAATGCTCAGTCGGTGATGTAGAAGACATTATGGCTGAATTAAGTAAGAAGGGGAATATGGAGACAATGTTGTTTTCCTATTGGGAATAAAATACATAAGAACAATAAAATATAATAATGTTTCCAGCACTCATACAAATGGGCTAAAAGCAAAAGAATTTTCTAGGTGGGAGTCTTATGGAAGCCCAACACTGCAAATCAACCCTTATAATTGCAACAAATTCAAAAGGTCCATTAATGTCTGGCAGCAGTACTCAGACAGCTATCCACCCACCCATCCACCTGATCAGAGCATCTACCCCTCACAGCATCCAGTAATCTCCCTTCTAGTATGTAAATATAGACTGGCAGTTCCTCATCTTCACCAGGGCCCTCATTGAAAGCACTGGCACACTTTGCTTTGGGGGCTTAACAGTTGCAGTGATCCAGAACTGACGTTTTTCCGCAGTGAAGGAGGAAATCTCAGGGAATAGCTCATCCTCCTGAAAGAGCCTGGCAATAGCCCATGATGCCTTATAGCCAAGGGTATGAAGAAATAGTCAGAGTCTGTGGATTCTGCATAAACTTAGATGAGATGGGGAGCCCACCTTCTACATCCAGGCAAAGTCAGTTTTACAGCAGATCTCAAGACAGACTGGTAGGGACCTGAAAAGCCATTTAATACCAAGTAAAACAGACCTGACCTTCCTTTAAGGATACAGTTTTGAGTCAGAGCTAGTATTGTCCACCTTGGATTCCTGTGCAAGGTGGTGCTCATCCAGTTATGGCCTCTGCTTCATAGGGGCTGCTCACCTGTGAACAGTTTGAAACAGGCATCTTAGGGAGGCAGAGGCAGCTGGAAAAGTGGTCCCATTGGGACAAAGCTGTCCTTCAGTCCAGACTTTTGTGAAGAAGGGGTGTATTTCAGCTGGTTCACAAGACTGAGGGAAAAGACAAGTTTGGTTTATTTGTACATATTATCATATTATAACTGCAGGGAAAATTTTGGAATATTTTCTCAGTAGAAAAGTATTGTTTAATAGAAGCATCACATTCAATTTCATAAGCGCTTCTTGCAAAAATCTGAGCCTCTCTTACACTATTTTTTAGCAAAAAGTAAATATGTAAAGGGATATTAAAAGGCTAGTCATTCTATAGCACAGCATGTTGCAGGGAGAGCTGGGGACTAGAAGCCAAAAGCCCAAATATGGAAATCATACTGTCTTTTAGTTGAGATGAAGTGCAGGTACCATCAGAGGAAGCTATGTTGGGTAATCTGGCATAATGTGGAGTCAAAAAGGCACACAAAGTGAGTCACTAGGAGTGTATGTACAAATCAGAGATTGGCCTGATTCTCTCCCCCATCCCACCATGGGGGGGAGTGAGTGGCTGTTTAGTGCTTAGCTGCTGGCTGGGGTTAGACCATAACAAGTACAGATGATTCAGTTCTGCAGAAGAAGCAAAAATGAAGAACAAAGCTTAGCACTGTTACTATTACAACATTTTTCTTGGTAAGGTTGTAATAGAAAGTAGTAGCAGGTCCCTGATGAATAGGGATGGATAGGCAACAAACAGGGTTCCAGAGAAGACAAGGAATACGTGCAATGTACCTCAATACTCAATGCTTTGCTCTAGACTAATAAAATATGACTGCGCAGTCAGAACCAGCATCTGACCTTCCACTTCTTTTTTTCTCAAAAAAACCTGAAGACAGTTGCCCATTCTTGATGTATTCCATATCTGCTGCCAAAACTGCACTCCCCCACTCAGACACAATCCCAAAATAGGGTGTGATGCCTTTCCCGTTGACAAAGCCATAAGTCACGGTGAGTGAGACACACTCAACATCCTCCAATCAGTTAAATGAAAAGAGCTCTCCCTTTCTGTTTCCCACAGCTTCAGCACTCATTATATCTCACATTAATTAATATAGGCACTAGGAAGTGAGATGATAAATTACAAAAACCCATTAACCTGATTCCATCCAAATTGGTGACATATGGCAACTGTACATTAGACAAATCTTCCTTGCTAAAGTGGGAGTCTTCGTGTCTGAACCCTATTAAAGGAGCAGCCACCAAAAAATATTTTTAATGTATGTACATATGGAATGTGTATCAATGTGTGTGCACAGTGCATGCCTGTGGGAGCATCAGAATTCATTAGATCAGTCTGATATGAGATATATTGAACAGGTTCCATCTGACATCTGTAACTGGGTTGTTCTGTCCACTCCCAAAGGAGTGAATCATATTGACAGGTTGAATTATGTCTCCAGAGATATTTTCCTCCCCTCCTCCAAAGGCCATTTGCAATCACGGCACATCCACTGCCTCTTAAAAGTGAGCTCATCTGGCACTGAGTTGCATTGAAGTCCTCCACCGTGCCTGAAGGAAGAATGCTTTTAGGTAGTGGGAACGTGGAGAAGATGTGGTCTGTCCAGCTGTTCCTTGGGGTGCTAGCCATCTTGACCATGACTGTGTATATCCCATCTACACGAGGAGAGCCTTTTTTACTACAAGGTAAGCTGGAATACAGACTAGATGACACAGGTAGGTGGTAATATTTTTGCTTTGCTTTGCTGCTTGTCATGGCCAATACAACACTCATTTATGTGTGAAAGAAAATAAAATGAACCTTGAGCAATACTGAAAATTAACATGGGTGCTACCCAGAGACTTGTTCATATTAGCATGAGCAAAAGCTGTCCTTCTGGTCTGCAGCTGATAGTATGATATATTCCGCTAATCAGTAAAAATACCAGATCTGGTGAAATCTGGTAAGGGTAGCTCTTTCTCTCCCAAAAGAAAATTTCCAAAGAAAAACATTAAAATATCACAGAGTAGCAATTCCGGAATGTACCATATGAGATTTGACAGCTCATAAATGTCAGTAGTAGGGTGCTGCTGAACTTTTTTTATTCACAAAACTTCTTTTTATATGTTCTCCCATAATTTAAATTAATCTTTGCTTGAACTTGTTCTGCAGGGAAATGTCAATCATTTATCTCCTTTCTTAAAGAGACTTGGCAGTGGAAATAAGAAAAAGGGATGCTAAATATAGGCTTGAAAATAACATTGCTTTTCAAATTATTTTTCCTCTTATATCACCTGTTTATTTTTGTAATGTCAACCAAAACATTACTGAAGCCACTTTGCCTACATACTGCTTCTCTTTGGGTTTTACTGGAGTGTTTATAGGGTGTTTTTTTTTCTGTAGCAAATCCCCCAAATGACTAGAAGTAGCTATTTTAGAATAATAACTGTCTTTCAGAGTTAGGAATGAGGTTCATAGCACTCCACATGAGTTTTACACAGCATGGAGCTCTACTGACTCCCTTGGGGTTTTTTCTAGAGATCACAATCAGGACCAGAGGCTTCAGCCGCAGCGTGAGGCAGGGTTGAATCTGGCCACATACCTGGAGCATCACTTTGGCCAGGGCTCCTCTGCTTCAGCAGATTTATATGATTTTAACAAATGGAGCTGATTCCCATACACTCTTGAGCATCCTTACGACTCATTTGGTACAATGTTTTGTCTCATGTGTCAGAAATAATTGCATTAATCTCATCACACCTATGAAGAGCTGATGGCTATATGAGACCATTTTTTTCCTTTGTCACCTCCTTTAATGGAGGGAGTAGATCCTAAAGATCCTGGAAAAAGAGAAAATAAGCCTTTCTGTATTTTCCAGTTCTGGAAATCTAGGCATCCTCAAGAGCTTTGTAGGATGTGAGCATGGGGCAGGGGTGTTCAGAATAAAGGTTTTGGGGAATGGCCATTCTCTCTGTAAAGTCTGGCTCCCATTCTGTCATTCTCAAAAATGAATGCAAAATTCAAGTTTCAGATTATTCTGGAAATATGTTCATCATAGCTGGGAGGATCTGGGAGCCTTTAGGGCTCTGATTAGTCACATCCTATGTGTCTGCTGGTTTCTGTTAAACCCTTGACCTTCCCCACCATTCATTTGAGGGCATAGCCATAACCACTAAAGCAAAACCACTGAGAAAGCTCCCTGAAGAGGCCTCATAAAGAAGTCTAAATTGCTTTAGGACAGCAGTTTGGAGAGGTTTTCTCTGGAAAACAGAAAGATTCTGCATGGTCTACAGCTACTGTAAGATGCTTCCTCAGAAATAAAGAGGCTTGCTTTAAGCTCCTCCACACTTTGGCTCTGTTCAAGAGGAATCCTATGATACCACTGGCAATCAGATAGAGCAGCCCCAAGGCTAAGTGAGTGCAAGAACAGACTGCAGAGCGGAAAGGCTTTTCAGCTGTGGTACCCACATGTCAGCCCTCATGAGGGTTAAGTTCGCACTTCTTTTGGCCCTGGGAAGGTGAATAGTGTGAGTGGGGTAACACCTGTAGTTCTGAGAAGATCTCATGGATTCCTACCTGGCTTTGCAGAAGCATCCACTACACAAGAGGTCTGGACTGTCTAAATCAAGGTGATGGCTCCAGCTCTCTGCAGCCAGCCATGCTGATGAGGCTGCACTGAGACTGGCCAGCAGCCCAGAGCTGACAGAGAAGGCTCCCCCATTCCACACTCTTTCACTGTGCAGCCCTCACTGTCTGGACATTTTATTCTATGCTCACACATCTTCTTCTTCCCCAGAGGTCTTTCCACCCTGATGGACAAGTGAACAGGTGCTGACAGGAGACGTTTTCCTTCCACTTATTAACCTATTTCATTTTTGGTTTAATGTTGGGGGTTGGGATCTATCCATTTTATCATTACAGACTGAAAAAGGTGTGTTTTATGTGCTGCAGATAACCGAGTGCTTCCGGAGAGAGAAGACACAAATCACGAGGAAACACTGCTGACTCTGCTTCTTAATAAGAAACTCGCATGGCGGAGACCAGAAAATATTGGTAAGTGAACAGGATCGGAGATCTCATCCTCTTGAATCCATTTTTGCATGAATGCAGGGAACCTGCTTCTCAGGTTTCTCAGAAATGCCAACAATCTCAGAAAGCAGAAGCACCCAGTACAGTGTCTGTATGTGATTAATGTGAGATGTTCCCCATCGTGGAGCTCCTGGACATGCTTTTGCAATGTGACATAAAGCTGCCTCAAAACATGCACCCTGGATCCTCAGACACTTAACACTGAGCTGGCAAGCATGTGTGGTGTGCACAAAAGTAATAGAAAGAAGAGCCGCTGCTGAGTCCCTGTGTCCCTGCTATCCCTGAGATATTGTGTACTGGGGCGTGGGCCAGCCTTGGGAGTCACCTCTGCAACCATACTCCATACAGCCTCACGTGCTTTGAGATTCAGCTCAGTGGCTTGCTGGCATGCTAAAACCAGCAGCATCTTGTGAGCATATGGGGGAGCAGGGCAGAGTCAGGATTGCAGAGATCATATGGCTGAGATCGATCCCTTGGGGTCAGGTGTAGGTTGCAATAGGGGTAGTGGGAGCTCCTGTCTGAGCCTAAGGTCCTGCTACTGCTGGAGGAGGTTGAGACAACAGGTTTTTCCCACACAGCACAGAGGCCAAAGATAGATCATGTAGAGGATTTTCCTGTCTGTGCTCTGTGAACCGACACCAAATTTAAAGCCACCCGCATGTGGCTAAACTCAGACACACTGAAGAAAAGTTTGGGCTTTCTGTGACACTATGCACAGCAATCACAACTGCCATATGGATTTCAGGGGTCAGCTATTCCCACGGCCACCAGAGCCACGGGAGGGTTTGGGCTGTATGTGGTGGTCCTGGAGCAGGAAGCTGATCTTCCTTGTGAAAACAGCCAACAATGAGGCCCAGCAAAAATTTTGTTCTGAAAATCCATTTGTCAAAATCACTCGGTGCTCTTCCCCAGCCCCTTCTTAATGCAGTGAAGCAGTGGTTAAACAATCCTGGGACAAATAAATAAACACAGATAAATCAAATCCTTGTTCTAAGCAAGGCATTCTTCTTGCAAAGGGGATGCATTCAAGAAATAACATTTTTATGATTGGTTTATGGATTATTGCGCTTATTGCTCCTAGAGGAAAGGCTGCATTTTATGCCAGACAATTGAATCTAATGAATCTCTGAGCAGAGCACAGACAGAGGATTTACAGCAGGCAGTTTCTCAAGGCTGCATCCATAAATTAACTTCCTTCCCCCTGCTTGAGATAATCTGTTCCAAATTTCAACCGCTGTTCATTTTCTATTCATAGCAGTCATTGGCCAAGCTTACAGTTTGCAGAAAGTTAAGCCAAAACACGCACTTGAAATTCTGAAAGAGGTAAAAATATGTATAATAATAGTAACAATAATAACAAAATAATAATCTCTTAAGTGCCACTTTTGACTTGTAGATCTGCAGGCCTGGGTGTCTTTACCTTATGGATACTTAAAGACATTCTTAAAAGGAATCTGCTTGAGGTCATTGCTGGCAGCACCAGGAACAGAGCCCCCACCTCCCAAATCCCAGTCCATACCCAGACTATCTCTTAAACTGAGCTCTGATGCAATGGATTTGGTTAGGAACAGCTGCTTTTTCTGCTGGATTAATATCAGTCATAAAATATTCATAATTTTTCAACTGAATTGTTTCCTTCTCGAAGGAGAAACTGGAAAGGCAGTCAGCTCCTTCTTGGCTGCTCAGTTTCAAATGTTTTTTTAAAAATCCTAAGTCTGGCAACACGTCTCTGTGCTGAAGTCTTATCTGAAATCAGAGGAAACTATATCCTAAATCCTCTTGGAGATGCAGATCAACGCCTACTGCCACGTTAGGAGCAGACAAAGGAGGCAGCACCAGGGCTGGGTTTTGGCTTTCTTGTCAGGCACAACAGAGACATTCTTCAGCTCTTTCCTGGCCCTCCTGCTTAGTTTAGTGCATTTTTTCCAAAATTGGCACTTAAAACTAGCTGATCACTTTGTGCTCCCCTCCTAAGAGAACTGCTGTAGTCCAGTCACTCAGCTCTGATTTAGCTTATTTTGTCACGGTGCTTTTCATTGTTTCATCTATTTTAATAGTTTTGTTGTGTTGTTTTTTTTTTGTTAATAACTGGTTTTGACATCAGTTTGAGTCTGGAATATGGTATCTTAGTCCTCAAGAGGAGTGAGATTGAAATCTCTCATCCCTTCCTGCAGCTTTTCCTACTGTTAGTGCAGGCCCTTCCCAATACAGCTGGAGGTTTTAGATAGCGCTCATAGGCACGTAACTCTTTCCTTGTCCTGGATGTGTTATCTCAGGGCAGTTAATTCATATTTTTTTGACATTCTAGTACAGTACTGCTCAGACTTGAGATCTCTCAATCTAATCTATGAAGCTGGTTCCCAGGCCCCTGCGCTCCCCTAACGTTTAGACGTGTAGAATCTATGCACTCGCTGCTGTTGCTTGGCTCTGCCAACCCTGATGTTTGCTGACTTATAAAGCAATAAGTTATGCTAGGCAAAATCTGTGTCACAGAATCACAGAATCCCAAGGGTTGGAAGGGACCTCAAAAGATCATCCAGTCCAACCCCCCTGCAAGAGCAGGGTAACCTAGAGTACATCACACAGGAACTTGTCCAGGCAGGCCTTGAATATCTCCAACGTAGGAGACTCCACAACCCCCATGGGCAACCTGTTCCAGTGCTGTGTCACTCTCACAGTAAAGAAGTTTTTCCTGATGATCACATGAAACCTCCTATGCTCCAGTTTACACCCATTGCCCCTTGTCCTATCACTGGACATCACTGAAAAAAACCTAGCTCCATCATCCTGACACTCACCCTTTACATATTTGTATACATTGATGACTTCTCTCTGAGTGGGTGGTGTGAGGGTACACAAGTCTTAAAGGAAGCAATGGGAGTTCATATAAAAGGCCAGTGACAGGCAAGCCAGCATTAGAGACTTGCTGTTGTCAGAAAAAAAAAAAATGAAAAAGCAGCAAAGAGGTTCATTGAGTTGGTATCATACAGTATGTGACCTTGTTGGGCCAATTCTCCTAGAGCCTGGTGAACAATAAAGAGTCCTCCCTCATCAGTGGACAATTAGAGTGAAGTCCATAGTACTCAGCAGAGAAAGATTCTGCTACCATAGATTTGGAGATCACTACCAGGAATGAGGTGATAACTAAGTCTTTTCTTATCAACCCCTGAAGTGGATGAAAGAAGAACATGTTTTTTGTTTGACCTTTGGGAAGCAATGCAGATACTGATGTTACTCTCCTTCTTGCAGACTGGGAGCTGGCAAAGAAATTTGAAGAGCTTGAAAAGGTGAGAGTAGCAAATATAGAGACACATATATGCATATTGTTGTATGAATAGCTAAAGGATTGTGCATACTGTCTTTATGCCCTATTCTTCTATCTTTGCATCTTTCTCCTTTTCATTCTGCTGCTATAATACAAGCATATGTTACACAAACAGAAAAGCAGAACCTGGGCTAAATAGCTGCACAGGCTGGAAAAGATAAAAAGAGAGCAAGGCTATAGACTAGCACAGTACAAGCTGAGGCAGCTCTTCCCTCTGCCACCAGTGGAATGCTAGAGAAGGCCAAGCCAGGAAAAAAAAGGAATGCCAAAGAAATCTCCGTGGAAGAAAAGGAGGTCATGCTGCCTTCCTAAGCATTGCATCAGCTGGCTGCATTAGGTAACAGGTTGAAGTTAGGGATAGCCACTGCTTGCCTATTCAGAACTATTTTTGCCTGAACTCTTTACTAGACAGAGAGGCCCTATCCATGGTCAGGGCCCTGCTGTGCCAAGCAGAGTGGACACACACACAGACAGCAAGATTAAGGCCCATCCTACATCCAGTCTCAGGAACAGGGAAAGGCATGCTGGAACCTTGACATGGCTCCCACTGTGCCCCAAACCCCACAAGCAGTGGAAGCCCTTTTTCTACTTTCTGAGGTCAAGTCCACATGTCTGCATGGATCCTGGAGGTCCTGCTGGATTCCTCTTGGCACTTTCCAATTCAGACTGAAAAATCACAGTGTGGCATTCCAGATGGAAGGCTGCTAGATCCTACCCTAGTCCCTCACTCCAGTGCTGAGGGACATCAAGCTCTGGCTTCCTGGGAGTAACATATCCAGAGAAGTCTAGATATGGGCCACAGATGTTCTCAGTCTACTAGAAAAGAATAGCTATAGATGGAGAAGAAATACAGTGGACTTTCTACATTCTATCCAAGGGAAGTTAGCAAGAACTGGGGGAAGGGAGAGATAGGACAACATAGAGCATTGGAGAAGCAATGTTCTCTGCTGCAGTGAGTGGATGCCTGGAGACCTCCTTCCCCAGGAGCGACTTGACAATTAGTGGTGAAATATCCTCCTATGCAGCCTTCTCACTACACCCTGGGGTGTGGGGAATAGCAGACAGTGCCTCCACACCAAACAGGCAGCTTAATGGAGGAGGACATGAGGAGGTTTGAAAGCTCCAAAGGCAGATCTTCCTGCAATGGTCCTGCTCCAGGGAAGACCCTGTCTTCCCAGTGATGCCAACAATCAGGTTGCCTGTACCTCCTGCCTCTGAGCTGCCCTGTGCTTGCCAGCATGCTGTGGAGCTCCTCATGATGGAGCATTTGTTTACTGCTGTGTTTGTGTTTAAACAGCTGGAGAAGTTGAAGGATCAGCTCTCAACTGAGGAAGGGTCAGAAGTGGCCTATGCCTTGGAAAGTCTTTCAGCATCCCAGCCCAAAAAACGCGGTAGGTTTTGGGTTAGAGCCCTGCAGCCATCCCATCCAGCTCTCATCTCCAGGGCTTCCTCTCTGCAACAAAGGCAGTGACAGTAAACATGACCCAAATATGCTGAAAAACAGGTTGGCAGCTTTTCTAGCAGTGCTGGCCCTCTCTTGTTAATGGCTGGCTGGTGTAGCAGCCCTTGAGAGAAGCAGAGAACTGTGTACCCAACCCTGTCTGCTGTCAGGGCAGATACACCAGGTCTGCACACCCAGGACCTTACTGAAGGCAGTCAGTGTTGCAACCTGCTTTTCACAGAGAAACATGGGGTTATATGAGCCAGGAGTGCTTGTCCCGGAGGGGGCGAGTTCTGTATGAACATGCCCCCTAAGTGCACCCATTGCTTTGCTCTGGGCACAAAGCTAGTGCTGAAGGCATAATGATGAATTTGGCATGCATTCCTGTCTGCCAAGGTCACTGCCTCCATCCAGAGAAAAAAAGAAGCACTTGTTCTTGCTGTTGAAAAGCAGCTAAAAAGGATGTGGAAATCAACCAAGAATGCAGGGAACTAAGACTTGGTAGGTCCCCCAGTTGGTCTCCAAGCTTTGCCCAGTCTGTACTCAGAGACTCAGGAGCACATAACAGCAGTGCTCCTGCAAGGCCACCCCAGACAAGCACATGGACAATACCGTTCGTGCTGGCTTTCAGTGGATTCCTCCCCAGAGCTGTGGCAGCTGTAAACCAGAAGTCACTGATGATAGATGTGGCCTAAACCCAAAAGAGCTAGTTCTGCCCTTACCCACATGCTCTGTGCACAAGCAAGCTGACAACCTCCCAGTCAGCCAAAGGAAGATCTTTTTGTGCAAGGCTTGTTTAAGTGCTCAGGTGATCCTGAGACAATCTGCAGTTTATAGGCAATCCTGGAGGCTGTCTTTAGTTTGGCTAATCTAATTCATGCTGCCACCAGTCTGGCAAGTTCAAATGCAGATAAAACTACTTTGCCCTGCCAGGTTTAGATCAGATTCTGATAAAGAATCTTTGCCTTCATCTAAAGTCCTTCCAGTCTAGGAGAATCTCATGTCTCAGCATGAGCACTGCTGATCCAGTAGAAGCTTTGTCCCAAGATCCTGCTTTCAACACTGGATAGAAATCTCTTCTCATACTTAACAATAGGAGATCCACAAAAGATTCAAAGAACAAGGCATGCTGGTGATACAGTTTTTTTTTTTTCCAACACCAAAATGTGCATCCTTCCCCAGCCTAGTCTGCCTAGAAGCTCCCACAGACACCAGTGTTGTTTGGAGGCCACTTATCAGCTGAGTGCCTGGACACAGAAGCAACTTTTACACCCCTTATTTACACTATAAGCAGCTAAAAGAAACACATTCTACAAGTTTTATATGAAGTTAATGCTGGTTATTGAGATGTGCCCAGAAACCACAATGCTAGCTTCACACCGCAACTCTCTCAAGACATGGGGCTAGAATAGGAAGCTGGAAAACTTCCTTGGATACTAACATCCTTCTCTTGTATCCCTTCTCAGCCTGCTTTTGGAAATACTGCATCTGAAGGCTTGCCAGGACTGGAGGATGAACATGAGCCCTTCCCCAAATGCCTTGCTGAGCATTAATGTGTTAAGAGTTTGTTCTGTTCTGTCATCGTGCTGCTAAGTTGAATGCCATCCTCCATGACTATACCACAGCCAACTCTAACAGGGACTGTGACAAGAGCTGGTAACCCACTACCACTCTCAACTGTTCCTTCTTTGCAGGTTTATCCCACTGTGATCTTCTACTTGGAAGATGCTCACTAACTTCCCCTACTGTCCTGTGTGTGCCATTCAGTCTGTTGCCACTGTACACTCTTCCCCTTCTCACCAGGTCCCCTGAGGCATCAAGCACTAACTCAGTTCCTCTGAGTTTGGGCTTCTGCCCACATCTGCAGACATTGCTCACAGTGATGTCTCCATTTCCTATCACCTCCTACAAGTAGGTCTGTGATGACCTAACACACGCTGTCGGGACAGGAAGGCAGATTGGGTGTAATGTGAAGGACTCAGAGCTGCCTGCCTTGGCTTGCTGAGCCAGAACTGTTCCTTGTTGTATCCTGTCAGCATGCACAGTAGTTTGGGGGAGGACAGACCCAGAAGTCTGGATCCCTTGGATATCATTCCAATAAAGATTTTCTGTTGCACAGAAGCACATGCTGTTTTCTTTCTCACCCCCTGCAGAGGCCCTAGACACAGCGCATTTCCCTTATTGTAGATTCTTGTTACCTTAATGGTTTGTGTGAAGTTTACAAAGCAAAACTTTGTAAAAGTTTTGCTTTGTAAAGCAAAAAAGGCAAAAAAGGCTCCCATTAAATACCTAGGTATAGCAACACTGGTCTCTTTCAATGTGCCTGAAGAGGCCTTCCTTTTGGCCAGAATCAGGAGTGAGAGTTGTGTCTTCCTCATGAGTATGTGTGGGCTGCTATCCTCATAGGACTTGACCAGACCCTCTGATTTCTAACTATTCACCCCTAAAAGCTGTTTTAAACAGAGATTTTGGGCTTATCTGGCTGGCCAGTGCAGATGCTAGCTACTACAGAATTACTTCTTCCTCTGTCCAAAAAGAAGAGATCACAATCTATCACTGGTTCTTACATCTATTCATCTTAAGTCACATTATCCACATTTATTTAAAAAAAAAAAAAACAACAAAAAGGACCATATTCCCAGAGTAAATCCTGATGTTAACTTTTGCAGTTCCCAAGAGTGTAAATGAGAGCAGAATCTGGTAGCTCCTGGTAATGTGTGGCCTGATTTTGATTAGAATTGAACTCTCTCTCCAACCCCACCAAGTTATGCTATTTAACTGTAGCTTGCATACTATGTATTCTTCAAAACTTTACCTCTCCAAAAGCTGCAATTACCAAGCTACATTCATTGCCTTGGGCTCTGGCAAGAAGTGCATGCTTAACCACAGCAGTACTTTTTGTGTACTTTATTAACGGGAGATGTACTCATCCTATTACAGGGCAAAGCCAACATCCATGGAATAAAACCAGCTTGATTATATCAGTGAGCTCTAGTGACATGCAAAATACACTTTGCTATTAACATTAATTCTTTGTTATTTCAGAACCTATTTCCTGTTGCTTTCGTGCAAGTGAAAAGGTATGTGGGAGCAGACTTTCATATACCCTCGCAACAGCACCAAATCCAGGAAAAAAATCATGGCCTGTTGCCAAGAGAAGGATCTCTCTTTCTTTAAGAGTTTGGTGCTCTCCCTGAAAGGGAGGTGTGTTACAAGAGCTTCACTGCGTGCCCCAAGCCGGTCTTCAGCTCAGATGCTTTCAGCTTGCAGGAAATCCCAGTGCAATGAAAGGCCAGAGCAGCAGGCTCTGTTACCTGCTAGCTGTAGTCATGCCTTCCTGACTCGGTGTGGCAACTCACCAGCAAGTCAGGAAAAGGATTACAGCATCTGTGGCTATTTAACAGCTTGCTCTGATCTAGACACAGGAATTTCCTGAAGTGCAATGCACCATGCTGCTTAGCAGTGATTTTTAGCCCATATGGTGTGCTACAGCCTATCAGCACTGTTACTTACTTGCTCATAGTACCCAAACTACCCCACTACTTCCTTACAGGAGCTACATGCTGCTATGTTACGTGCTTCTATTAGAGTGATGAGCAAGTGTTGAATGCAATTTGTTTACTAATTTGAAGCAAAGGTGGTGATGCTTTCCCTAGGCTCACCCTCAACATGTCACTATGAGGGTACTGTTCTTTCACCTACACAAGCAGAACAGAAACTCTTTCTCAGCTGCCACCCTCCACATTGTGGCTGCTCACAAGTTAACCATGCTTGGGCAGTCACTCTTGCTAAGGTTAATGACCCACAGGCAATAATTAAAGAGATTTGCCTCAGACATTCTAGTAGACCGTGTTGATTTATTATCCGTCTGAATGGATTTGCAAACAGGCATCACAAGGCAAATCTAGTGCAATGGATTCTGCAGTATATCCTCATTTCACATTTGTTGATTTCTATGCTAGGCACCATGAGCGAAGCTATCCAACATTGTCTATGAAAATAAATTGTGGTGTTCAGTCTTTTAGATATCATCATATTATAAACAGCACCTGCCAATTTATGGATTTTAAACAGTGCTTTTTGAGCCACAGGAGGTCATAGAATGCTCTGTGATGGATAGGGCAGAGAAACAGAAAGGCTGTTCCTTTCTTGCAAATAATCCATACAATACTGTGGAAGCCAAAAACAGGACTGAAGCTTCCAGCTGCCAGTTCCAAGCAACACCAGCACAGACACCTCTTTCCTGCTTTGCTTTCACATAATCCTTCAGATAAAGGTCATTTCTGCTCACAATTAACAGGCTTTAAACACCCTCTTTATTTGGAAGCCTGAATACTTGAAAACTTTTCAATACTCTTATGATCTAGCAGTGTTTTTGCAAAGCTGCTGTGTTAGCACTAGATTCCTCTCATCTCAGTCTCTCAAAATACATCATGCAATGACTCTGTCCATGCTGCTTTTGACAGCTGTATGAATGGTCAGGTCATCACTTCCATAATCTGCCCATGTCCCATACATATGGCTCTCTTGCAAGCAGATTATCTGTAGACTAGATGAGCTCAGTTCAAGAAGATAACTGTTCACAAAACCCCAGGGTAGGTTTAGGATAGGTGGTGGCAGTGCATTGTGGAAGACAGGGTCTGGGCTTGTCTGGGACTACATTTACAGATTCACTTCTAGCATGGACAGAAAATCTTGTCTTTAGTCAGCCAGTCTACATGCATCCACTCAATCCAGCTCTTCAAGCCTTCACATGCAATTTTAACACAGAAAATGAGCCGTAAGATCAGAGGAAAAGCAGGGGGCAAAACCCCAAGATGACCACATGGGGTCTTACAGCTCTTATTTCTTTCTACAACTTTCAAGATCTTGGTCTCAAGAGCATCTGTAGTGCTTCACCTCACCCATAAGGACACAACTCACCCACTGAAGGAGGAATGATCACCCAACTCAGCTAAAGATTGCTCTGCCTTATGGGAAAGACAGAGGCATCTCTTGATGTGATTCACTGGTTTGTGCAGCTGCTTGCAGCAGCATTAGCTTATATTGGAAATGTGAAGAAAAACAAAGTTTCTTGCAAACTTCCTGTGGCTGGGCCAGTGCCCATCTCAGGCCAGAGCTGTAAGCACAGAGAAAAATGGGAAAAGCCCCTGCCATGGCTGAACACTGCCCCCTCCCAGGCATAAATTGGATGCTACCTGCACTGCTGAGGCCTGAAATGGGGCAATTGCCCAAAGTCCCAATCCTCACAACAGCTTTAGCATCAAAGGCTCGCCGACTTCCCAACTCCTTTCCTGACTGTATTTTCCTCTAGCTGATGGTCAGATGCTTTGTGCCTCGTACAAGATTAAGAATTCAACACTCAAATCCTATCTCCAGCCATACTCTCTGCCTGATAAAGAGTGTTTGCAAAGATTTTTTTTTATCTTTGTCCTGCATAATCCCCTTCTCAATGTATCTTCTTTTGCAATGCTAAGGATGATTTATACCCAAAATAGCAATCCAAGGAATTTAGCCGACATGGACCAAAGTCCAAGAAGAAGCATGTAAGGTTTAGAAAACTTCAGCTACAAATCTGAGCATTGAGATTTCAGCAAACAGCTCTTTTCAGCTATATTTTATAATCTGGAAAAAAAAAGAAAAAGGCATGGAAAAGCCTGAAACAGGATTTAAGATAACCTGTCTTATTCTGAAATGGAGAGGACATGTTTACATTTTACCAGAGCAAGAAATACTTGAACTTTCAGAATTAGATTTCAGATTATGTCCTGTGCACACATGAAGAGACTAAAATAAGGCATATGGTGCAGATGGCCTAAGAAGTAGATGACTTCATATTTGGATGCTGTCCTATGTTATGCATAAGAAGAAGTGAAATATATTTGTCAGCTTAGAGGAGGAATCTAGAAGTCTCACTACATTTCAGGATCTACCATGCAATGAAAATATGTCTGAATATGGTGCAGAGATATCAGAAAGACTACTAAAACCATCAGGACAAATGTTAAGGTATTGTCACTGTTCTTATTCAGACTAACTCCTAGTGAAGTCAGTAGACATCTCCCAAACAGCAGCAGAAATAAATTCTAGGTTTGTCCCATAACTGTTAAATCCTCCCTTCCTCTATGAAACACACACCCTCTTGAAAGAAATGTGCAAAGCAAACTGTCTGCTTTCCATGGACTGCTTTTGGCATCTCTGGAGGCTTTATTTTCAATCCAGAAAATCTAACAGTCCTTGCTAGGATAATGAACTTCTGCTGGTATAAGAAATAAATGCCATGCAATTAAATTATATACATACTTTCTGTCCCCTCCTACCAGTAACACCGTACACAACTGTGAGAGCATTATAACTTGATGAATTGAATTTGTTATTATTTGTAAATGCAACATTTGTAAAATGCAATGTGAAACAATTTTGCAGGAGGTCAATTCCTTGAGTACTGTATCATTAGTCAATGACAAGGTATGTTGTGATGCATCTTCTGAATTTCTGTAATGTTTCCAAAACAGCGTCAGTCATTCAGAACAGAAGCACCTGTAGGCAGAAAAGCAGTAAGCATTACATTTTCCCATGTCAGAAATTCAAGGCTTGAACAATCTTGCTGTGAGGTGGTCCACAGGAAATGAAAATGTCATGAATACTTGTTTTTTGTAGGGGGGGTACCAAGTTGTAATTGAGAGCATTCAAGCTAAATTGACAGCCATCATTCCCCAAGCCACTCTTTTCAAGCCTGCTGACATGACTTGAGTACCTCTGTGTAACTGAGAGTAGGTGGGGTTCTCCAAGCATGCCCACACCCGCAGTACTTTGGCTTACTTGCAGGAGCTGCTAACCCTTGGTGTTGCCAAGATGGCTCACTCCAATCCGGTCAAGAGGAACTCCAAAACGTCTCTTAGGCAGCTCAACCACTTTCCTGCATAGGGAAGACAAGCAAGGAAAGAGGGGAAAAATCTGGGGAAGGACATCATAGGGATAATAAAAATGCTACTACAACTTGGATTCCTTCATTCATCCCACTAACAACTTATTGTTATTGTGTTAGTTTCTACACAGAAAAAACAGCTGTGTAGAAGCAGCCAAAGATGTGAGTGCTTAAAAATAAGATGCTTCACTCGTCTTTACAAAAGAATAGGCAGGAGTTGTACCTATTTAACAGACTGGTTAATGTTGATCCACTATTCCTGTTTTTATTTGTCAGCAAACAGTTTAACTGCCATTCATAAAAGAAAGGAGATACATTGCATGTATAAAGTGTAACTGTTTCATGTATAGTATCATACACTTCAGGTGGCCCATTAGTCAGGACCTTTGAAATCTCCAGGGCCAACTAGGGCTAAGATAAGCAAGGAGGTAGAAAATATTTCACAGTAACACGTGAACTCTAGCAGGATTTTCCTATGGGATCTCCTGCAATGCACTGTTCTCAAAATTGTATAGTAACAGCCTTTTGAAGAGATTGAAAATGGGAGGGGGTTGTTTTTGGTTTTTCCTCCATATGTTACATTTCCTGATGATTTCACAAATAATGGCATGAAAAAATCATGACATTTCTATGCAGGAATATTTTATTATTATTTAAAAAAAATATATGTAAAAAGAAGTGTTCTCATCTTAAGTCAGCATTTTTTAGTAATTTTTCCACCAGCAAAAGTTTTATTTAATTGTGGAGATGTTGAGAATTTCTGCAGCTCAGAATAACTTCTGCTCTTGGAAATATTTGTCAGTGAAATGCAGATACAAGAGAAGCCCTGAAAGATGAACTATTTTCTTTGTCCTTGTCAAGGAATATAAATAAGACAAAATTTGGTACTGTAAGTTGGCAAATGCAAAGTAACTAGCAGGAAAGCATGCTATGGTGTGCTTGAGTCTAACCTTTGTGCTAGCATGGCCATGTTCACTCAGCTGGTGGCTTTGGGGGCTCTGCAAACCACACCCAGAAGTATCTGTCTAGTCCATAGTCTCATCTGAGCAGCCTCCTTCCCTCACACCTCTCAGGCATGGGCTGAAGCCCAGAGCATCAGCAGCCAATTTCGCACTGCCTCTATTTTTCAGATGAGGTCAAGAAACAGGAACTGACACTGTATCATGTATGTAAGGAGCACCATATCGATCACACTGGAGTTGCTACAAAACATCCCAAATGAAGGTGAGCCTTTTGTATAGCCCTCTTTGTCCCTTCCTCAGATAGCTGCACTGTTGCATTATGACATAGAAAAAGCAAAGAGAAAGAAAGCCAAGAGCTGATCTTTAGTCTGTTTCCTCAAGGGCAGCACTCTTTTCCAAACCTGTAGGCACAAGCTGATGGGGGGCAGGGGGGAAATCTGGGCTGCTGGGGTCATACTGATAGAAGGGAAATTAATTTCCCAGACTGGATGGTGGGGTGGGGGAGGTAACATTCTGCAGCATTAGTTTTAACACCGTCATGCTCTGTAGTTAAACAGAGAAGGAAATCGTAAAGTCATGCCCATGGGAAAGGCTGTGAAGGTTTGAGCAGGCAGGCAGGCAGCCAGTGAAGCTTCCCCTCTCGTGGCCATCCTGAGCCACAACAGGACAGCCAACGCACTCTCCCCGTCTTTCAACAGACCATATTTATTTCAGCACTTGCTAGGGAGAAAGTGATGTTTTATATTCAAAAGCAGCCTTTTCTAAGATTCCTGAGTCTCGGTCTCTCTGTCTGTCTATGGATCTTTCTGCTTCTTCTGAAGACTCATGTCTTCTTGCATGCTTTTCCCATGCTTTCAAAGCTTTAGGACTTGAAGTTGATAAGTAAGATTAGGATCTAGGCCCTGCTGTAACTGGTGGGTGCCACAACAAGCTGTTAAGTGGACTTACATTTGATCTACTCTTTTCCAAAAGTTTCTGCTGCGTTGCCAGGTAGTACTACACACACTGTATTAATTCAGGGGGCTGAATCTGTTTAACAGTTTTAACACTTCAAAAGTCATTATCTGGTCTATAAAGGTAACTATCCTAAGTGGTGCAGGAATGGGCTGTTATCTACTGTGTACACAACAGCAGTGGGGTGCTCAGTCCTGCTTTACACCTCTGAGTTCAGAAGCCTCTGCCTGTTTCCACCTAAAGATTCAGTCTTACTACGGTTTCATAGCTCGCACTGATCTGATCTGCGGTCCATGCTTCTTATGGTAGTGTCAGACTATCAATGCAGTGATCAAGGCAACTCAACTGGTTCTAATAAATGAGTCAATCCCAAACAGCTCCCCAAAAGCGATAATCTCAACACAAAACTGCAAACTGTGCTGATGATGCTGGGAAAGGAGGGATTTTGTGTTTTGTGTCACTCATTGGATGAGCTCATTATTCCTAGAATAATTAAGGCTGGAAAGAACCTTAAGATTATCTAGTTCCAACTCCCCCTGTCATGGGGAGGGACACCTTCCACTACACCATGTTGCCCAAGGCTTTGGGCCTTATACTTGGCCTTGTTGAATTTCATGAGGTTGGCATTAGCCCACCTCACAAACATGTCAAGGTCCCTCTGGATGGCATTCCTTCCCTCCAGTGTATCAACCGATCCACACAGCTTGGTGTCATCGGCAAACTTGCTGAGGGCGCACTCAATCCCACTGTCCATGTCAGTGATGAAGACGTTAAACAAGACTGGTCCCAACACCGATCCCTGAGGGACACCACTCGTTACTGGTCTCCAGCCGGACATTGAGCCACTGACCACAACTCTTTGTGTGTGGCCATCCAGCCAGTTCTTTATCCACTGAGTGGTCCATCTGTCAAATTGATGTCTCTCCAATTTAGAGACAAGGATGTTGTGTGGGACAATGTTGAACACCCTGTGCAAGTCCAGATAGATGACATCAACTGCTCTGCCCCTGTCCATCAGTTCTGTAGCTCTATCATAGAAGGCCACCAAATTGATCAGGCAGGATTTCCCCTTAGTGAAGCCATGCTGGCTGTCACCAAACTCCTTGTTGTTTTCATGTGCATTAGCATGCTTTCCAGGAGAATCTACTCCAAGATTTTGCCAGGCACAGAGGTGAGACTGACTGGTCTGTAGTTCCCTGGGTCATCCATTTTCCTCTTCTTGAAAATGGGGGTTATATTTCCCTTTTTCCAGTCACTGGGAACTTCACCTGACTGCCATGATTTTTCAAATACGAGGGACAGTGGCTTAGCAATTTCATTCGCCAGCTCCTTCAGGACCTGTGAATGGATTTCATCAGGTCTTGTGGACTTGTGCACATTCAGGTTCTTAAGATGATCTCAAACCTGATCCTCTCCTACAGTGGGCCTAGGGTCTTCATTCTCACAGTCCCTGCATCTGCCTTCCAAGACTTGGGTGGTGTGGTCAGAGCAGCTGCTGGTGAAGACTGAAGCAGAAAAGTCATTGAGAACCTCAGCCTTCTCCAAATCCAGGGTATCCAGTTCTTCCGATAGCTTCCAGAGAGGGCTCACATTATCCCTAGCCTGTTTTCTGTTTGCAACATAGCTATAGAAGCCCTTCCTGTTATCCTGGACACTGTGTATCCCCTCACTCCAGTGTTGAAGGCATCCTCTCTGGAGCTACTCACCTCAGCAAATGACCATTAGTGGTCAACGATGACCATTTCAGAGGCAAGCTGTCAGAAAACTTGGTCAAAATTCACCAAAAGGTTTCCACCCATAAAGCATGAGATAAATTGGGAATACCATGTGCTTTTCATAAGAAAGGAACTGCAGCTTCAAAAATGATCTTGTATTTCTTTCCCTGGAAAGGGAAAACATGCTAAAAAGCAAATAAAGAATGAGACAATTTTGATCTCTTGAAGAAATATACAGAACAGAATGTTCTACTCAGGGTTTTTAGAATTTCATATTTTATCCCTTTTAGCTGCAGTCAAAAAGTCCTAGTAGCCGACTGGGTGGATAAATGGAAAAACAGCACGAAAATATTGCAAAACTGAAAAAAAAAAATACTTGTAGCATTGACTGGCTCTTGTGAATACTTTCCACTTCCAGATTAAGCTTTAAGCATGTTATTAAATACTTTGTGGCACTGGGGATTTCATCCAAAAGAAGACAGCAGAAAGAAGGGAACAAGACACTTAAGCTCTTTCAGATACAGCGAACAGCCCTTTTGGAGCTTTTCTCTGAACTCATGGGCTGCCCTCACCAGTATAAAGCATCATTACTTAGCCCTGCTATAGACAAGCTTATCTTCAAATGTGTACTGTGAAGTTGTGGCTTTACTGCTGTATTGATTAAACCCTGGCTTATCATAAATTGACTGAGATCTTGAAGCTCATTCTACCATCTGCCAATTTTCACAAAATCTTTCCATCTTGATATTCAAGACATGCACATCACCATACCTTTTGAACCCAGCCTTGGGAATACCAGGCTCTTCCCTCTGCTTTTAAACCTTTAAATAATCTTATGATTTAAATAATCTTATGATCAAATTTTATGCTTTAAATAATCCTATGATCAAAAAGGCAGTTTTAAACTGAATGTTAGTTCACATCAGTGGAAAGCAGTGCACTAAAATCTCACATAAGCTAGAATGTTCTTTGTTAAGTTTTATGGCACTGTAAGGATAAATGAATTAGTGCATGTATGCATGTATGTAGTATTCATCACAGCTGAAGGAGTACACACCATGCAACCAGAATGGTTTCTGAAGAGATTCTGGCATCCTGATCAGAGGCACCTCATAACTAGCCATTAAATCTGCAGCTGGTTAAAGCTAACCCATCTGTACCTTAGACATTTACCAAAAGCCTTCTTCCTACTTTATCACTGGTAGGAGCATATAAGAATTTACCTCTGTTTGCCTTTAACATCCACAGAGGTAGAAGAAATTCTGTCAATCGGGGACCCAAATCCTGGGAAACTTCTTTTCTTCTTGGTCTCAGTCACCTCATTCTCCAGAGACACCAGCTCATCAAGAAGGAACAGTTTGGCTGCGAGGTTGGTGGCTGACTTCTCTTCACTGGCAACGGGATGTGCTCCCATGCCCAGAGCAACAGAAGGCTCCAAAGGCTGCAAAAGGAAGCAGGGATGTTTGCTTGCTGCTCAAGTTGCAGAAAAAGTCTCAACTAGCATCACAGCAGCAGTCCTATAAATACATAATCACTAGAACACTGAATGTGGGATGTTTTAAAACAAAGATCTTCCTGTGAACCATGGCCATTTTCCACCCAAAGAAGTTTGCTGTAAAAGTTTGAGATTTTTTTCTTTTTGACAGAATTGAAATTATTAAACTTGCCTTCATTATTATTGCAAGAATTATCAAAATTTACTACTTCACAAAGCCTGTTTTTGCAAGTCAGCCCACTATCCCTATCTCAGCAGTGTGATTAGTATCACTTATAGCATGATCCAAGTAATCTAATCCTTTTTAAAAATGCAATCAGTTACCAGACTCCAATATCCATCCTGATATTTTTCAGAAAACTGGCTTTGAGTTTTAAAACGAATGCTAATAAATAATAATAAAAACTTGTACAGAATTTTCCATCCAAAGCTGACTAATTAATTGTTACTCAAAAATATCCCATGATAAAGTTGCTCAGCACTGCCATTCAAAGAATTTATGCAATAACGCTATGTGGAGAGGAAGAAAGGGAAGAACAGTATGTTGAACTGACACAGTGTTTTGAACCTTAGTTATGACATTAGGTATAACATCTTTTGAAAACCAAACTTTACTCTGCTATCCAGAATAGCTGAGAACACTGGGGTCTGTCAAGAGGAAATAATACAAATCAAAGTGAAATAGTTGTTTTCCAAATAACAGAAAAATAGGGCAACAACCAGTCTACAAAAGGAGATGTTAAGCCAAATCATTCTTTCTTCAGATGAACTGTTTGCCTTCTTGCTCCACCTGATCTTCACAGAATTAGATGGAAATTTCTAATTATAACTTTTATTATGTGACTTGAAGCATGCTTTCCTCTATCTTCTCATCCGTAGACAGTGAATTTAGTACAAATGTAAAGCAAGCCATCACATGGATGATTTAATGTGCTTGTCTCTACTGTGGTCTACACCATACTTGTGGTGGTGATGTTTCCCACTACTTATGGGTGGCATAACCAGTGATGGAGTATATAAAACAGTGATTTTTATATAAGGAGGAAGACATAACCTCAATGATCATACAAATGATGTAGCACTGTTAATACTTTTGTGAAGGATCTCATACTGTCCTCTGATTTTAATTTTTATGAGCCTCAAGTACACTGAGCAATCCTTTCTGTTCCCTTTCAGGGTATAAAACTTTCATAGAGGTTTGCAAAAAAATTATGCCTTAAAAAAAAAGAATGAACTCTCCCCTCTGGTTAGTGGGGATAAATAGCTACAATAATGCTTGAAACTAGAAGGTCAAAATAGCCTCTGCTCTTGAACACTCTATGCAGTCCCACTTACTTTGTCTTAAAAAGGACATAATGGAATTGTAGGAAGAGACAGCTAAAATGATAATGAGACGTATAAAACAGTTTTCCTGTGGTGAACCACTACACAAAGTACAGCTTCACAGATAAGCAGAGATAATGATGGGTTACGGTGGGTAGAATGGAAGGTTTATAAACTTATGAAAAGCAAAAGGTGAATAAATACTAGCATTTTTTTCCTCCAGAAAAAGAACTTCTCAATACACCCAGTGAAGTCACCAGATGTTGGATTTAAAACAAATACAAGGAGCAATTTATTTAACACAGCACATAGAATGCAGTGGAAAGCATTGCCAAAAGATGTCATGGATCGTCAGCAGCTAAAAAGTGAACTGGTCCAGTGTAAGTCTATGGAGGTGTTCTGTTCTTATTTATTTTTTTTTTCACAAATTAATATATCACAATGAAAAAATTTCATTGTTAAAGACAGGCTACCAGATCTTTGTAACACCAGAACAGCAGCTGCTGCAGCACTGGTGTGTGGAGTGTTCCCCCAGGCCCTATTTTCTATAACAAATGTTATTTTGTATAATCAGAGCATCCTCATTTGAAGACAGAGAGTAAGGTAGAAGGATCCATCAGTATTCCCCTGTAAGCATCTAACTTCTAAGCTGACCTTAAAAACCTATGTAAAGACCTTACAGCTACATAGTGCTACTTTGATTAAACTTTCAGATCCTTGATTTTTCTTATGACATGAAACCACTGCATAAATATCTTTCCTGGCAAATCTGTTCAGTGTCAGCATGACATTAATAAAAAAGAGAATGCAATAGAAGTGTTTTCAGGTGCAAGCCCTGCATATCCTGCATGAAACATCAGACAATCCTCCCGTTTCATCTGCTGCTTTCCTTCACAAGCTTAGGCAAGTGACTTTGCACCTTTCCCTCTCCTGGTCTGTTCAGTCTTCTTTTATTTGTAACTTTTGTCTTGTGTTAGGGATCTCCTTATGACTTCTGAAAGCTGCAGACTTCTCATGCTAGTATTTCTCTTTAAGAAGAATGAAACCTTTCCTTCAGTGTTAGAAGAGTTTGCTTCCCTCCTCCCCATTGCCATCACCTCATTCCCTTCTTTAGGGAGTTTTCTACCCAAAGTCACTGGACTATGTTTTAACACAAAGAAAATCCCATGGCATTTCAGGAGAGGTTGCATGAATCATTCTGTCCTCCCAGAGCCACACAATTTGCATCACTCTCTTCACTATGCGCCTCCTTTGCCCTTGTGGATTCAATACTGGTTGTTTACCTTCCAGCACTGTCAGGGTACTGTGTTGTCTTCTACACTCTGTGGCAAAGAACAACCAAAGGAAGAGCAGTGTTATGTGACTACCACCAGAAACATTCACCTACCTCTGAAGCTGCCTCCACAAGGAGCACTGAGGTAGAATGCCACTGCAGCAGGGTAATCATAAGGGCCAAGTGCATCACAACAAGGTGGAACTGCAGCATCTGCAAAGGAGAACTATCTGTTAACAACTTCATAGCTGTGTTCCCTTGGAACCTTGCTCCAAAGGTATTAAAGAAGTGAAAGCAAAGGGAGATTCTGTTCCATGGCTGTTAATATGTTTTATCTTACAGTCACTGTATAAAACCCAGCATCCAAATAGTGTCAGCTGAACGCTCTTCACCTTTGGGTGTAAAGTGAGCTCCCTCTTTCTTTCTTTACAGCCCTATAAATCTTTTAATTCTTTTCTGTGCATGGCTCAGTCCTTGAAGTGGCAGCAGTAATGACCTCAAACTTCTGTTAAAATTAGATGAACTAGACACTCGCAAGCAGGGAGACTTTAGCTCATAGTCACCGAGGCTGACAATGACCTCCTCGATGCTGGATAGCTGCTTAAACCTGTTACAGAAATCACACACCCCTCCAGCAGCATTTTGAAAGCAAGGCTGCATTTCACCAGTCCTCACATGAGTTACCAGTAGCCACAACTTCCATGATCTTCCTGGGATCCTGGAAAAAAATTATGCAGCTCCCACACCTGAAAAAGAAATATTCCAGGTGGCAATATTTCAGCTGATGTTAATAAGAACAAGGCCGGGGCCCCTAGGGCCAAAGGTATCTACTAATTTGCTGATTACTCTGTCTCCAGGTCCAGCCCCAGAGTGTAATTCAAGCCTGATTGTGCCTTTGTTTGCTGATTCTTCACTTGGCAAAAGCAGAAACAGAAAGGATGTATGTACATTTCCATTATGTATGACAGTTGTTTCATCCTCTGCATAGAAAATTTCCCATCAGGCAGGAATACATGGTAAAAAACATTTAGCTTTGTAATTTTTCCCCACGCTACAAAGGAGAAAAGCCACAAAAGTGTTGGAGTCTAGTTTTATAATGTAAGGATACAATATTTGTAGTGTTGCTTCTTAAAAAAAAACTTGGATTTTTCCAATATGTTTTACTTGTGCTTCTGTATTCTGTTATTTGGCTACCTCGTTATATATTATATGTACAATATTTTTTTATATATATCTTGTCCATGAGGGATCAGTAGTGAGGAAGAAAGCTGCTGGTTATTCTGTAGGGATGAAGCAGACTTAGCTCACTGGAATCAAAGGGCAAAATCAAAGCAATAAGCCAGGTGGTACCACTGTCTCTCAGTTCAGGGGCAACAGCATTAAAGTCAGACAAGAGTCTGTTTGGGTGTTTTTAAAGCTGTAACCCTCTACAATGTATATTTTTGTATGTGGGTGTGCATTGAAATTTGAAGTAGTAGTCTACTGCCTTCACAGGTAACCACATCCTGATTATTTGGAAACAGAGACATAAAAATAAATGGCAAGGTTAAAAACACAGGTTTATTATGGTTTAAGGTCTGTGGTGGTATTCATTCAACCCAGGGACCAAGTTGCTAAAAACAGCGACTGGTGCACTAATCAAAATAAATATTAAGGCACCTGCAACACAAAAGACATTTCATTAACTGGTCAGAACTCAACGCCAGTGAAATTAGAAGGAAACTAAGGACTTAAAGCTTGGCTCTAGTTCCCATGGAAATGAGTAGCTGAGAAGCAGCATTGCTGGTTTACAAGAGAGCAAAACTTAAGGCCACCAAAAGCCCGTTGTGCTGATTCTCACGCTCTGGTGGGACCAAGGAGGAAGAAAGAAGCAGGGTTGTTCTACTGGAAGCAGTTTAGTTCTAGAAAAGCATTTGCAAAACTTAGGGTGCAATGAGGATTATGTAAATGTAATTAAAATCACACTGTTTTCTGCCAGACAGAGACTTCACTTTTCACATTCATCAATGCCACAGGATCTTAGTTGTTAAAATAAGTTGTTGCTTTTCCTCCTTGAGCTCATCTGAGCAATTGGATAAGCAGAGCCCTGCTGCCAAAAGGGGCTTTTCCAGCCATACACTGGTTTTTGCTTTACCCCATACGCATTTAACCTTGACCCATTGCAAGAGAGACCTAGAGCAAGGCTTGGCAGTATTTGTTGCTGAAGGAGAATAAGCAAAGCTCTTATGACCACATGGGTCTTTGTAAGACTCACCTTTACCACTTCTATTGAATTTCCATCCTTCTGGAAAACACTTTACCATCAATCTTATACAGATAGGTCAAGGGATTGGGGTATAATTCCATGTCTTTAATATCTCAGGGTCTAGTGTTATTTGACATAAAATATGGTTTACCCTACACTAAATGTAATTGCAAGTCTGAAATTCAGACATATTTATGTGTTTTAGTGATATTTTAGCTTGAAAAGTGTCAAAACTGGAATTCCTCATGTAATTAGGGATGTTGTTGCAGGTCCAATTAAAACAGAATTAAAGATAAAAGAGAGAACATTATCCTACCTTATCAAAGCAGTATAAACATTCAAAACTTCTTCTCAGGAATCTATGCAGAGCCATTTTCCAAGAAAAGATCACAAGAAAGCACAATTCTTTACCAAACAAACTGTAAGCCTCCAACATCAAACCAGAAAACTTGAAAGATGTTTTTCTTTTAAAGAAAAAAAAGCCAAAACAAAACAAAAAACACAAAATAAAAAACAAAAATGACATCTTGAAGATAAGTGGGCAGAACAAACCCCAGACAGAACACAATTCATCACTAAGCTCCAAACCCATTGCCTGTCACAAATGGTAACAGCTATCATTGCTCTTACCTATTTGAACTATCATATTTCACATTATTGTGGAGATTACTCTGTAAGCATAAATCACAAGAGCTTTATTTTTCTTGCTGGCCCGTTAGTAAGAGAACGGAGGCAAGACATCATGCCTTGCACCATAATCTTTCACTTCAGCTGCCACTATATATTGATGAGTATGCTCTGCTTGTTGTTGCAACACCAACATGGGACATGCCTGAGCTCACCTGCAAGTGAGGACCCTTCTCTTGCAACGAGCACATTGTGGAGGAGCCCAGAAACCCATGGGGTTTTGTGCTGTATGCTCTCAAGCTGACCTGATGCAGAGACAAAGCATGACTATCCTACAGGCACTGGGAAGCTTCTAGCAGGAGCTTCCAGAATGCTTGAGGACTCCAGACCTGTTTTACAAGCACTGAGATGGTACTGGTGAGCCTCCATTACCTGTTAGCCAAAAAGACCTCTTCCAACCAGCTGGGGGAAATCACAGCTGTGTATACAAGACTGTTATTGAGGTGTTTTATCACTGCTCCAATGCTACAAAATAGAACCAATTTTAATCAAATGTATCACTGAGTCCTAACATTGGCCTTACTAGCCTTGGAATGGACACCTGATTATAATCTACCCTGGCCAAAAGAAGTTACGATGGATGAGTATCTTACCAAAAGAACAACTTCAAAATGGCTTGTGTGTAGCTCTGAGAATAAGTCTGCTCCAGCTGAGAAAAATTTGCCCTGCTTTTTAAGTTGTAGGGTGGATCTTCTGATCACGTTCATTACCACAGAGTGAAAAATATGCCCACACCAGCAGTTCTAGTGATTTCAAAAATTCCTATGGGACCTTGTGTATCTCAAGTGTAAGTTTCTAGTCATGTATATATCAAAGAAAATGGACAAAAGTCTAAACAAAACCCACCCTCAGAAACAAAAGCAGAGTATAAACATAGGTTGAAGTGGTGGTTTTGTTCTCATCCCACAGATGTGATATGGAGTACTTCTTACATATTGCTTTCTAAAAAAATACTGAAGCAAGACATTGAATCATGGGACTCTGATGAAATTAAATATAAGCAGTCAGTGTCAGGTTATGTTACTAATAATTTCTGGAGTAGGCGTAGATTTTTAAACAAAGCCATGTATTTCCATTAGATATATGGTATAGACACCGACAACTTCTGCAAAGTAAATTACCCTCTATTTTCAGTTTCCTGACTACATAGATAAATAGATGCAGCTAGCTTTCATCTGATGGAATCAGAGAGAACTTAAAATTCATGAACTTATGCAAGAGGAGTATGAGTAGTGATTTTGAGATAATGCCTAGGTATTGCTGTGTTCCAAATGAAACATTTTGTCAGACAGTATTTCAAGGCCAAGGATGTTCCACTTTCTGAAAATTAAGTTCCTTAAAGGTTTCTCAAGAAGGCACTTTGATTAGTCATAACTTTTCACAGTCTTCATTTCAATAATTGCACTCACTGTATGATTTGCAGTGTTTGGTCCTGACGTGTTTTGTTATCACAATGACAGTCATCTTTGCCTCTATTTTACTGAATTATCTATTACAAATGCTGACTAAGCTACTGATAGCTGTGCTTTTGGTAGGCACAGATCTGGTCAGAGATGCTCAGTATACAACTATTCCTACCATCTGTATGAATGCAGCAATTTCTTAATTCCTTCAAGGCTTGGACTAGACTCTGCAGTGACCCTGCCTGTGGAAGACACGAAGCTTGTGGGAGCATCATGCAAACTGCAAAACTTGTATGAAGAAAGACTGAAAATGTGTCCGCTAGCTCCAATGCAGAGTTTGGGAAGTGTACAAATGAACACAGCCTTGTTGAGGTACATTTGCTTAACAGACACAAGCACAATTCAGGAAAAAATAATGCAAAGTTGGACAAACGCTTGTGGAAGACCAGTCAGTCATGGTCCTCATCTCTTCATTTGAATACAAAGCATGAAACCAAATGGCCACACAGAACAAATGAGGACACTTTTCCTTAGAATGGGCAGGAAGGAGACAAGTTGGACATCTCGCAAAGCTGACTACACTGTGTAATAAATCCGTTTTTAACACCAGATTTTAGAAATTAAAACTCCCATCTCAAGTCAATTCCATAAAAGTAGACCATGAAGCTGGAGACACAAATAGAAGTGGTAAAATCCATCTAGAAGCCTCGGGATTATTATATAAGGAGGATGATATGAAGTGTAAGAAAATACCTCTTAATGGGAAGAACCTATTTGCACCTTTCCTAAGTAAGGTAATTGAAAGAGCTGCAGTGTTTCTGGTATGCCTAATGGAAAACAAAACATTATTAGACTATTCTTCATTGCCAACAAACTCT